CCCACCTCTGTAGGAACTGAGGGGTGAAGTCTGACGAGGGGGCAACGAGTAACTTGTAGATCAGCGATAGCGCACGTCAAACTGGCACCCCCTTCCCACAAATGTCTTCAAATGTCGTCAAAGGCCGGTCAACATGTAGCGAGGCAGGGATTGCCACTTGGAAGTGCCTGAGCTGATTAGTCCAGACATCCAGGGGGGGCTCCAGCAAGGTCTGCAAAGGGGGAACCCCCATCCAACGTCCGCCCGCTCTAAAATTTTGAACACAGAACTTGTTGAGGCCGATTAGACTACGAAAACGTCTGTTCCGTGCCTGCTGGAAAATCCGGGTCTCCTATCACCAGGGTGAGTGGGGAAGGGAAAGGGGAGATCGAGGAAGATCGGAACAAAGATCTCACAATCCTGAGTGGCTCCAATCGTAGGGTGTTGAGCAAATTGCAGGCATGGGCGTAAAGAGCCACGGGAGTCCCGACAGCGGTATCGGGGCGACATCTAGTTCCACACGCACCCACTGCTTATGGGTGGAGTGGCAGCACCAGTCAACGACTATTGAGATGCACTGCTCTATAATAAAGAGCCACGTCTGGGAGTCCAATCCCTCCCGATGATTTAGGCATGGTGAGGAGGCACCTGCCAATCCTGGGAGCCCCATTCGCCCAGACGTAAGTCAGGAACATTCGGCAAAGGCGAGAGAAGGAGGGAGGTAGACGAATGGGTAACGACTGCATTAGAAATAAGATCCTAGGGAGAATGGTCATTTTAAGTGCGTTACAGCGACCGAACCATGTCAACGTGAGAGCCTGCCAAGTTCGTAAGTCCTGTTTTGATCTGCAGCAAGAGTGGAGCAAAATTGGCATCGTACAATGACTCCAGATCGGGAGTGATATGGGTACCCAGGTACGACAGGGAGCGATCCACCCACTTGAAGGGAAATTGAGCCTGGATTAAGCTCTGTTTAATCTGAGGCAGAGTGATATTCAGTGCTGCCGACTTAGTCCAGTTGATAGTCCGGTTGGAGAGGGAACCGTAAACCCTGAACTCCTGCATGAGTTCTGGGAGAGAAGTCAGGGCTGGGAAATAAAAAACAAGAGGTCATCTGCATATGCAGTGACCTTATGGTCCATTGAGTGACTCTGGAATCGGAAGATTCGCCTATTCAATCTAACGTAGCTTAGGAAGGGTTCCAGCGCCAGAATATACATCAGTGGGGAGAGGGGACAGCCCTGCCACGTACCATTAGTAAGAGGGAAATAAGGAGACCCAGTCTCGTTAACCTTGATGGCCGCCGTAGGGTGAGAGTATAATGCGAACAGCCAGGATAACATATGGGGCCCGAGGTGACGAAGGGTGGACCGTAAAAACAGCCAGTCCACCCTGTCAAACGCCTTCCCGTGTCCGTTGAGAGAATCATCAACGGGGAAGAGGTGGAACGAGCCCCGTGAATGACATTTAGGACCCTAGTGGTACTATATCTGGCCTCCCGGGTCAAGACAAATCCCACACCAAACGTTGGATGCAAGGCAAGAGCCTAGTTGCCAGGATTTTCGCAAACAATCAACGTTTAGCAGGGCTATATGGCGGTAGCTCCCACATTGTGCTGGGTCTTGCCCCTCTTTAGGGATCACCGACATGCGCCCTCAGGGAATCCACCGGAAAGGGGCGGTTCAGGAGAATGGAGTTAAAGGCAGTCAAAAAGTTAGGGGACAGCTGATACAGGAACCTACGATAATACGGGATCGTGAATCTGTCTGGGCCTGGGCCTTTACCAGGTGTGGATTGACTGAAAACACAAGCCAGTTCCTCGGAGATATGGAAATCCAAAATCTGTCTCCTCCAAAAGAAAAGGGAAGAGAGGCCGGAGTTCCAGGAGGTACAAGTCTATCTCAGCCGCTCGGGCTGGTGCTTCCTGTATAAGAGGCTCTGGTTGCAAATTATACAATCTACGATAAAAGTCACAAAATTCCTCCGCCATATCTTTCAAAAGCGCAAGTCGAGAGCCCCGTCCGGAAGTCTGGTGGGAAATAAAGGTTTTACCTCTCGGACTGCATATAGCCCTGGCTAGGTACTTATCAGGTTTGTTGGCTTACTCATACAGGGTCCTCCTGTCCCACACAGCTCGCATCTTCACCCTCACAAATAGTAGAGCGTTAAGAGCCTCACGAACCTGAACTAGCTCCCTGTAGGACGCCACCGCAAGAGATATCTTATGTGTCGCCTCCGATCTGTGTCGCCTCCGATCTGCATAGGCGGCTCAACAGGGCTTCAATTTGGTCAGCGTGGTCAGAGAAGATAGGAGAACCAATAGTACTTTAAGTCCCCATGGCGGGTGAAGAAATAGCCGATCGAGTAGGATTGATGAACGGTCGAGTGGTAAGTGAAATTCCGCACCTCAGGGTATAGGGTACGCCACACGTCCATGAGATGAAGTTGCTGGAGAGCCAACTTAAGTTTTCAAAGGTAGGGAAATGAGAGGTGGGAAGCACCCCTGGGAGGTATCTACAGTGGGGCCTGGAGCCACATTAAAATCGCCACCCAAAATCAGAGTTCCTTCTGGAACTCTGCTAGGCGAGTAAAAAAGGATTGCAGGAACTGTAGCTGGTCCGTTTTGGGCAAGTACATATTGGCCAACGTCACCATAGGCACGCCAAAGCTTCCCTTGACTACCAGATACCGAACTATCTCATCTACAATTTGGTCAACCCATGTCCAAGCCACCGATTTGTTGATTAGGATGCTCAAGCCCTTAGACCTGGAGAGCGGGGACGCAGCGTGGTACACCACTGCATAGTCACGATTGACCAATTTTGGAACCGCGTCCCGAACAGTCCACGACACCACGCCCTCAATGGGGACAACAAAAATAAAATGATGGAATTTTGGAAGGTGTCCCTCCACCCATCAGAGCTGCAATGCCGAGAAGGCCCCCCTCTAGGACCACAAAAAATAAAAAGGGGAGGGGGATTCCTATAGGTCCGCCAGAGCACCAGGGGAGGCCCCCTCCCCCCCCACCCGCAGCTATAGTGACAATTCAACATAACAGGTATGAACATCGTATGGCAGCAACAAAGTCAGGGAATACTACAGAATGAACTGGGACAGCGCCTCGGCTTCCATCAAGAGGGGTCATCAGGCTTCGCTCCTTGAGTGAGAAGGGCCAGGGGCATTCCGCTGACTGGCACAGTTGCGGCGATCTTAAAGATCTGGATGCTCCAGGCGGAAGTGGGGCAGAGGGCGGCCGGTCATCTGAGATTCCAGCCAGTTCGGGATTGGTATCGTCTCTGCCCCCAGGAAAAGGAACATCTCAGGCAGCTGCTGAGGGCGACGCAGATCAAATGTTGAGTCCCCCCTCCGCACAATAAAGATGGAACCTGTATGAGGCATCAGAGTAGTGGATGACCTCCAATAAGGGCCGCAGGGATCGCCGCATGCAGGTGTGTCTGGAAAGGTCAGGCATAAAATTTGAATGTGGGCACCATCATAGTCCATAGGCTTCTAGTACCAGGCCTGGCGCAAAATCTCCTCCTTGATTGAGTAAAAGTGTACCTGACATAACACATCACGGGGTGGGGAGTTAGCCAAGGCAGTAGAACGGATACCCAGAACACGATGTACACGATCCAATTCCATATCTGTTGCAGGTGGTTTATCCAGGTAGTGACTGAGAATCGCCAGGACTGTGGAGCATAGGTCCCGGCCCGCTGCAGCTTCAGGCATGCCCCGCAGATGCAGATTGCTGCGTCTGTTTCGGTTCTCGCCATCATCCAGTCGGAGGAACGCTGTAGTGATGTGTGCCCATATCTGAGTGGGCCGACACCCATTGTGGATTCCTCCACTGTCGATACTTGACCATCCCGGGACGTCACTCGCTGCCCTGAACCTCCTGTCTGAGGGCCGCCACAATCCTCGCGGCCATGTCCTCTAGACATTTCTACTGTACAGAATACTGTATATTCCCAAATATTGAAATGTATGTACAATTCAAGACAAAATCTAGTTACAAGTGGTGGAATAAGTGCAATTTGGTTCCCGGGCTGTTTGTTTTTTACTTAAAACCAAATCGGACCCTCTATATTTTTCACACAAAGCAGCAGGCCTGCTTCTTAGGTGGTACAACACAACCTCCAAAACATGGTTCTACTCAACTGCACTCACTACCAGAGCAACGCTGTTAATTGGATTAGTGTCCAGGGGCTGCTGGACATGGACAAAAGTGAGACAAGGGTTCTGCATGAGTGGTGCCATGGTCCCACTCTTCTATATGCTGGCAGCATTCAGTATTTTGCCAGAAGCATAGACTCCTCACCCTCCATTTACTATTATCCGCACAGGTGATTTTTCTACTAGGACCATAAGTAAATTTACAAAAAGGATGGGAGTCTTAATGTAATCAATGGACATTGCTTTCTAGTGGAATAACTACATTAAAGAAGAACTCCAGGAGATATTTTTAACCTGCAAGTGCTCCTTTTTATCTTAAGGTCAATTACCCGAAGCTCCAAGACAATTTTTAGACCAGTCCTTCTAGTGCCATCCCCTCCTTTGCAGCAGTCTAAGGTCCTGTAAATCACCATTTCTATACACTGTGCATAGACATGAGGATGATGAGGAAGATTTCAGTGTGCTGTACAGGAAAACAGAGGCTGGAGGGAGCGCTGTGACGGCTTGCCGGCTAGGAGCTTCAGGTGAGTATAACTTATCTTTGTCACTAGACACAAACTAGCACTTAACCCTTGCAGTGTGGGAGTAACCCCACTGCAAGGGTTAATAATTTTTCTTCAAGATCTTTAATTCATAGCCAATTTAAATTGCGTCTTTTATAGATTTTAAACTCTAGGTTCGGCTTTAAAAAAAGGCTACTAAAAAAATATGTACACTAATTGTTGGCATGTAAGCACCCATCTATAAAAAATATTTCAAAAAACAAATTTGCAGAAGCAGTTCAAGTCATGTAAAAGAAACACAAAATATTTAAGAAAACAAAAATGTCACTAAGCATTACTTACCCAAATCACTTTTTCTTGCAATAACTGTATCACAATGAGGACAGTGAAATTTGGCTACATTCTCTGTATGTTTCTGCAATATGTGCATTTTCATGGTCCCACTTTGAGTAAAACGAGCATGACAAATGTAGCACTCATATGGCTTCTCACCTGCACAAAAACAGAAAAAAAAAAAAAGAGTTGCAACCTTTACCACTTGTATCGCTTTACAGATCTTAGGCAAAACATTTGGAGCTGCTGCTGGAACCCAATTCTATTTTAAGTTTGTAAATATCTTTATTTTTGCTTGATTCTAGGGTCATCCAACTAGCTGCCAAGCTAGAATTACAAACCCTTTTAGATACTGGCATAATTACAGAGCCAAAAGTTATATTCCAAAACAAAAAAGATACAGCAAATTTATATAGCAAGGGTCAGCAAACATTTACACATCGTGTTGATTTACAAGCATTTGACTAACTGACATGCCAGTGAGTAGCATGCTGTAGACCTCAGATCTACCCCAATTCCTGCACCTTTAGACCTCAGATTAGTCCCAATACCTGCACATTCAGAAACAAAAGACAAGAGGGGCAGGAAGGGCTTTGAAATTGACAGCCTGGTAAGCTTATGGCAGTATTGCGGTATTTGTAGGGAGCAGGGGCCCAATGAAAGATCTTGTCTGTGAACATGCTGTTATGGAAATTCGCTTGGTTCAACGCACAAATCCATGCCGCACTAAACTGCGCCAATTGCGCTTTTGTGCAAGGACTGGAAGTACCTCTTTAAAGTCATGTAGAGTCAGGACACAGGAGACAGGTGTTGCTTGCGAGTTCCATGCTTAGAGAGCCAGCACAGGTATTTGTTTATTGTTTTATATCTGCCCAACCGGAAGTGATGTCTCACACAGCAAACCAGGAAGTGATGTCAACAACCAGCAAACCAGAAAGTGATGTTAACAACCAACATCACTTCAATACATAGCCAGTCAACAAAGCACATGTAGTAGAATAATCTATTACCACCGGAGTGAACTTTATCCAGCATTGCTCAGCGACAGGGGTGTGGAATTCGTATCGCCCGACGCCCAGGACATGTAGTTCCGGGCGCCGGGCAAGTGCTTTTTACACTGTTTTAGCCCTGCTATGGACAAGTAGCAGGGCTGGTTTATTTTTTCTGAAATGAGCGCCGAGAGCAGTGCTGCGAGCGGGGGCGCCGAGAACGGGGGCGGGGACGGAGCGTGGAGCGCTGAGAGCGGGGGGCGTGGAGTATAAAAATTTAACAAAATAAAAATGTTAATAAAAAGGCGATAAAGTAAAAATAATAAGACAAAATAAAATGTTTCCAAAGTAAATAAAAATTGAATAAATTAAACCCAGCCCCGCTTGCACTCGAACATGAAGTGTTTTCAACTGCGATCGTGTGCAACCGCACGGGCACGGCTGTATTGCAGCAGGAAAACGCTCAATCTGCTCAAAATAATGGCACTGACAGCACAATCGGCAGTGGTGTGCGATCCGTGACTGCCCGGTCATCGTGCACTCTAAGGGAGAAAGAGGATACCCTTGTGTTCTGTTTTAGTAATAGAGAATGTACTTGATAGAATCCCATTAACTCATAGCTAGGGGGCAAGAATATAAGGCTCCATATTTTATTACAATATTGTATTGTATGGAGGTCCAGTCCAGATGACGTGAAGCGCTCCTTGGCGGGAATCAGGATCCAACCCAGACGACAGAGAGCCGGGAGAGCTGCAGCCTGCAGGTACTGTGCTGTCACAGTCAGTATATACTGTAGAAGTCATGGAGAAGAGGGGGAGTGATATACTGAAAGTAGTATCTGTGACACCTGTGTACCGCCCGCCTCCACACTAGTATGTAATCTAATATTTTTATCTCTATCATTTAAATTATAGTAAACATTATGTGGGGGGGATGCACATTGGGGACAGTATGGACTCCATACTGTCCCTAGTGAGCATCCCCCTAACATACTTTTTTTTAAACTGTAATTTAAATAGAATTTAATAAATTAAAAAATAGTTTTATCTCTAATTGATGATTTTCCCGATTCTCTCTCCCTCCCCCCCACTGATATCTCCCTTGCGCAATGAGGAGAGAAAGCAGGGGAGGAATCCACAGAAGCAGGCACCAGATGGAAAAACTTTTTCGTAAGTAAATGCTCTGTACTATTTAATGTCTGTTTTTGGCTTTTATTATTTAAATACTTAGGCTATTTCATAAAGGGAAAGTTTTGTTTTATTGTAATTATGTATCATGCTTTTTAATAAGTAAAAGTACAGGCTTTGTTATTATACCGATTGATATACTGTATATGCCGCTGTATTATACTGTGTGATGTACTGTATAGACCACGGTATTATACTGTGTGAACCAGCCAGGCCCTCGACTTGGAGCATTTTTAAAATTTTGGCCCACTGTGTATATTTGAGTTTGACACCCCTGGTCTACATGGACTAAACATGTGTTTTCATGGATGGATCGACGTAACATTATGAAACAAACAGTGATACCAAGACTGCTCTATGTAATGCAGGCCTGTTCATATTCCATCTTTTTTTTCAAAGACTCCAGTGCCATTTTGCCAAGTTTGTATGGGCACAAAAAACGGTCAGATTAAGCTATGCAATTTTGAGAAGATCTAAACAAGAGGGAGGTATGGCCTTACGTGACACGTGTATATACTACTTTGCAGTCCATTTGACCCGTATTTTGGATTGGTGCCGTCATAGCACCTGTGAGCTCTGGATTAAAATGGAACAATTGTAGTCTATCTGGTCTCCCATGGTGCTGTGTTTCTGCCTTAATCCCGAAGATTTAAAATCATCCAACTATTATGCCTACTTTGGCAGTAGCTAAAGTTGTTTTCTTACAAAGACCGTTGTCACCAGATCCGCCCCCTTTAATTCCTATCTTAGGGAATCTTGCTTTTTTTACCGGGACTCTGGGATGGGGTATTTAAGTTATTGTGAAAACTCAGCAAGTTTAGAGACCTTCCATTTTTTGGAAGACTTGGAATGGCCTTCAGAGACCATTTTACAAACCCATTCTAGCTACGCCAGTTTAAATTATTGGCGAGAGAGACAACTATCCCATTTTTAAAATTCATTACCAGAAGCCAGACGATTTGATAGACCACTGACTACATTTCAACACGAATGTGTCCAGATGGGTTCAATGCGACATGACATCTCATTGTGTTATAGGTTTTTGGTTGGGGAAAGAACTACATCTCCCATGGGTTTTTGACAGAGTGGGAGGAAGATTTACAAATAAGTTATCCTCGGAAGCACGTATAAAATTATCTATCTTACCAATCCTCAATATGTAATACATACCAAGAACTGGGTTACAAAATTGTTCTTTCGAGGTGGTATAGGACCCCGCAGATGCTACATGCTATGTTTCCACAGTCTAACTGTTGTTGGCGATGTGGGAAGCAGACATGTTGCATGTATTTTGGTCTTGCTCAGTATTGCAAAGTTTTGGGACCAGGTTCATGTTTTTTCTACTCCAACACAATTTTATTTCAATTAAAGCTTATAAACGCTCAGTTGTGATAAGACTCCATTTTGACCTTGCAGACCTAGATGCAGGCTTTAAGGGCTTTTAGATCCAACATCAGACGAATCTTCACTTTTTTGGGCATCAAGAAAAAACTTGAATATCCTTTGAATTTTTCTCCTGGTGGGACTGGGACAATGACTCCCATTTGAAACAGATTCCTTACAGCTAACCATAAATCAAGTGAATAAGTGAATTAAAGATATGAACGCAAGAAGAGAGATGGAGGAGGAGGAAAGAATGAAACCATTTTGTATACTGACTAGGGATGCACCGATACCGAGTATTTGGGAGTACTAATACTCGCCCAAATGTTCAGATTCCTTCCACGATACCGGAACTTCCAGTCAGAGGAATATTTCCTCTGACCGGCAGTGCCGTAGGGGAACATGGAGCTAGCTTCCCGGGCAATCAGGAAGCCTGACGGCAATTAATGACCCGCCTTCCTGATTGGCAGGAAAGCTGACTCCTTGCCGATTGGCTGGCAGCATGTGAGCACATCACTTGCCACACAGCTTCCTGATTGGCCAGGAAGCCGGCTCGATGCTGTAGTGATTTAGTCTACGGCGATCTATAGCATTCCAGCTCAAATCACTAGTCATCAGCTGGTAGGTTTTGTTTTTTTTCCCCAATGTGTCCAGTGTATACTAGTATAATGCATGTACTACTGATTATCAGCATGGTTGAAATGGGAATGGAGTGTGACGAGCAGAATGATCCGCATCATTCTGCAATCTGGGCTTTCTGGGCTTTAGTACTGCTGGCAATTCCCAAATCTCAACCACAAGAGGTTTCCAAAATAGGACAGTGAATGAGACACATTTTCCTAGAAAATTGTGTGTATCTTCCTGCACTCCTTACCGGATCTCCCAGGAGATGATGTCTGTAATAGGATGCTTGTAGCGACCACGGAGGCACCATGTAGTCAAGTAGTAATTCCAAAAGATGTCACCAGCACTCCAAAAGCAGATTCAATATAATTTTAATGACAACGGTCATTCAAAATCACAAGTGCTTTCGGGGCCACGTTGGGTGGCACTTGTGATTTTGAATGACCGTTGTCATTAAAATTATATTGAATCTACTTTTGGAGTGCCGGTGACATCTTTTGGAATCCTAGAAATCTCCAGCATTCCATCCTATTTATTTACAGTTCTAGTTAGAGAGATGTGCCCCCTGGCACACATCAGCCTCTTGAAGCCCTCGGCACATCTCCCCCTCCTGAGACGCACTGCCCAAGACATCAGGCTGGCACCCCGGAGGAGAGTGGCACCACTGAGTATGTACAGGTATGGTACAGCAAAACTGCACGTGAACGTCACAGCTACTTCTGAAATATTGTCTGCTGTTTATGTCCTGTGCGTTTTTCTACATTGCTGTATAAAGTATTGCTGAGATTTGTAGTCCTCTACAGCTTGGAATCAGTGGCAGACCTACCAGGGTCGCATAAGGCATCGGTAATTGGTATCAGCGAGTACTTGAGGAAAAGTATTGGTACTCTTACTTGGTCTGGAAAAAAATGGTATTGGTGCATCCCTAATCCTGACTAAACTAGTTTGGAAACCCAGCTGTCTGAAATTTGAGACA